ATATATATATATTTCATATTTTCACTTTTCACCCTTAATTACGTACAATTACGTATTTATATTATTGGCATAATTAATTGGAAGACCTCTTTATACACACACACACATATATATATATATCAGATCTGATTTTTCAGCAGCCATTACTACAGACTTCATTTTCACACAATCGTTTAGAAATCGTTCATATATACTGATTTGGTGATCAAGAAACATTGTGTTTTTGTGGAAACCGTGATATACTACCATTAAACGTTTGGGGTAAGTATGTTTCAGATAGAAGATAGATAGAAAAGGATGTCCACAAAAATATTAAGCAGCAATTTTCAGTAGCCTACATCAAAACACTGATAATAGTAAGAACCATGATTTATAATTGAGTGTCATTAATAATTGATAATTGAGCACCAAATCAGAATGATTTCTCAAGGATTATGTGACACTACAGACCGAATAATGGCTTATGAAAATTAAACTTTGCCATTACATTTTAAAACATTAATATAGAAATCTGTTATTTTAAATTGTACATATTATACATATTATAATGTTACTGTTACTGTTGTTACTGTAGTTAGTGGGTAGGCTATATCATATTTATATACACTATATACACTGATCCTACTAGGTCAAATTCACTTTGTATACACTATAAACTTCATTTCCCAGAATGCCCTACTGTCTTCCACCCCCAGTCCAGCCGGTGTATTTGGATACAAAGTCAGCCTTAGGAGTTGACAGCCAGGTCCATGGAATAGATCGTCTTTTCTCATAGGGAAAGGAAACAGGGGAAGAACCGATTCGATTCAGATGAACGACAGGCCGACGAACTGACCCAGCTGGGAGAACGATTACAAGAGCATCCTTCAGTGGAATTCGATGATGTGTAGCTACAACAAATGGGAATATTTCAGCGTTATGATACGCCCATGCGACGAGCTGTGTGGATGTTGTGATGTACGGTGAACGATCCAGGCAACCACAAACATACATCAGAATTCAGAAAACCGGTTGTTTTGACAGGAGGAACGCATGGATACTTAACCACTGATCTCTGGATTATAAGAAATATTGTTGCAGAATATAGAAAGGAATTAGGTGGATATTATTGTTGTTATTATTATTATTATTGTAAAGATGGTGGACACATCTTGTTTTGGCTTGTATTTGGGCAACATAAACACATTATGGAGAATTTCATTGCCTAATCGCGACGACCTGGATAAAAGTCACCTTAATGCAAGCCATCCGCATCACTCTCATTCTTCATAGAAAATATCTCAATATCGCTGTATCGTAATAATCCAAGACCAAGCTGAAGTTTCGCTTGTCATACATTTCTATTTATATATAGGCTACGCAACTGATTCCAGCTTTATGAATCAACTGCTCTATGACAATAAAATGTCTACTGTTAAAATGACAATCATGGAAAATGAGGACGAAATGATCGAAGTAAGCACTTGCACATGCGTTTCATAGAAATAACACGAACCGACAGTCGATTTGGCTTATGACGTGGATTAAATTGCAAACAGTAGACGTTTAGTAGCTGTTGTAACGTTTGTCGATGAAATATTAATACGCCGAATATATGCCTTTCTTGAAATGCAAATCGATAAATATGTGGCGTACATTATGCATGACGATTAAAGCTAATGACAACCACGGTTCTGCCAGCTCTGTGTTGTGAGTCTCATCTTAAAATGGACGCGCGCTTTCCTTGAACTGTTTTATAGCATTCGCGATGTACCGGATTTATACAACACAAGAGAAACTCGAAGTAACTATTGCGAATGTGCAAATAATTGTGGAGGTTTTGAGATCGCGAGCTGGTGCATATCTGTGAGCCTATCAGAGCTGAATGTCTGAGGATGCCTTAAGTCTGCGCATGCATGTGTTTAAGGCTATGAATATTCATTAACATCCATTGCAAAAAAAAAAAAAAAAAGAGTAACATCGATGTACGTTTACATATATGAGAGTTTTACATGCATTAGACTTGGATTAGAGGTTAAGACAACATTCCAGTGCACGCTATTTAGGTAGAACTTAACCCCAACTAGAACATGATATGTGATGTAAGGCAAATTATCAGAAGACCCATCTAGTTACTGGTTTATCTTCAGTAATATTTGTTTACTTGTGGATTCTGCTGTTAAAAAGAGAAACCAAGCAAGCAGTCTCCAAGGCCTTCAATGATTCTTCTAATGGGAAAGCCCAATGCTGCATCAAGCAACCAAAAAGATAAGATTCTCAAGGATTGATAATCTGGAAATTCTCACCTAATCTCAAGGACTTTGGTTTCTCTAGGAAAAACTTGGTTCGCACTGCAAAACTCTTTTCAGTGTCATCTTCTTAGTCATATTAGAGCTGTAAGAACACATTGACTGACTAAAATGGCTCTATAAATGTTAAGACGCAAACAAAGTGTGCTGTGGACAATCCAAGCAATCGGTGAGGACAGAGCAGAGGCAGCCCCGCAGAAGCTTTACTTATTGATTCCGTTCCTCATCAAGAAGGCCTGCACTCAGTAGATGGGCTCTGCATGGATATTGTGCGCAAGTTGACAGAGGGCCTCCTCCAGCTTTTGAGACCACATCGCTGACCTGAATAGTCAGTGATGGACCCATATATGAGACAGAGTGGAGCTGGAGCTGGAGGCAGTGCTGCCCCGCTACCTTGCACCAGCAGGGGAGGTTCCTGTGGACCCCCAGTTCCCCCTGCCCTCCCAGCAAATGCAAACTCAATACCCTGTCTGACACAGAACAACAGCAGCCAGAACTCCTCTACATTTTCCTCTTCAGTGGGCTCCCCAGATTCCCATCTTTCTCATCATAATGAAGGCAGTAACATGTACTGGACGGCTGTCTTTGATTATGAGGCCACAGCAGATGAGGAGCTGACCTTGCGACGTGGCGACCTACTGGAGGTGCTCTCCAAGGACTCTAAAGTGTCTGGAGATGAGGGTTGGTGGACTGGCAAGATCCAGGACAAGGTGGGCATATTCCCTAGTAATTATGTGACCCGACGGGACACCAACTTGCCAGCGTTGCCTCCGGGAGGTCTGGTCGGTGGGGAGTCACCACTGGAGATTGATTTCTCAGAGCTGTGCTTGGAGGAGGTGATTGGTGCTGGAGGCTTTGGAAAGGTGTACAAGGGTGCGTGGCGAGGTGAGGAAGTAGCTGTTAAAGCAGCTCGTCAGGACCCAGATGAGGACATCAGTGCTACAGCAGAGAATGTGAGGCAGGAGGCCAGACTCTTCTGGATGCTCCGACACCGCAACATCATCGCTCTTCGAGGTGTTTGCCTGCGGGAGCCAAATCTTTGCCTGGTTATGGAATATGCTCGTGGCGGGGCACTTAACCGGGCACTTGCTGGGAAGAAGGTTCCTCCTCGGGTACTGGTGAATTGGGCAGTGCAGGTTGCGACGGGAATGGACTACTTGCACAACCAGACCTTTGTGCCAATCATCCATCGAGACCTCAAATCCAACAACAGTGAGTCACATTTCTTTATTGTTCACAGCAAAAATTGTACCTTTATGGGTACAGGAACTTGTCACTGGGTCAGTTCCCTTAAACCGACAACTTTGCACCTTATGTGTGCCTGAAAGGTTGATATTAATACATTTGAGTAGTAATATGTACCCTTAAGGTACTAATATGAACCTTTGAGGGTACAGCCCCAGTAACAAGCTGTTGTACCCCTAAAGGTACAAAATTTGCACTTTTTTTCTCAGAGTGTTGTGATGCACTCAACACCAACACATATTCATAAGCAGCAACATATTGATTAAGGGTAAATGCCTTTGGGACACTTCTGGCATGTCAGATACAGTCCCAACAGAAATGCAGTGCATCAAATATATAATTCTGCATCCTCAAATTTGCAATGGGAATTATGGGTTAGGCACAGGTGGGGCGACTATAGTGATAGAACAAAAGGAATAGATGTTGTGTGTGAACTTGGAAACATTGTTTTTTGCTCATAGCCTCTTCATTGTTTTTTCCTCTTCTTAAGGAGAGCTGCTCTGCTCTGGAAAACGCTAGGCTATTTTTGGTCCTTTGTGCTATTTGCTGCTAAGAGCAGTTGGAGTTGTTGTGGGCAGAAAGAAGGGAGTAGCTGAATGGATGAGTATGGATGCACTTGGGAAAAGGAACACTGCACACTAGATACTAAGGGTTCGGCTTTTGCAGTTTCTGCAGTAGCAGAGCTTGACAGACACTCAAGGGAAGATTTAGCAAAGTCTGCTAATCCCTGTCCTTGTCAAATCCATGAAAACAGTCATCCCAGTGCTGCTCCCTCTCCCAGAGATGGGACGCATGTTTATCATGCCCCTGTAGACACAGGAGGGGTGAAAGCATTAGCTGTCAGAGTTTAGAGTTTCACTGCTTCTCATTATCCAGGGGCTCTGAGCTCAGGTATCCTCTTCAAACTGTAGGCGTACTTGGAGATTGGCACAGCTGCCGTGGCAACAGAGGCGGATTCCAAGCCCTCCAGCCTCTTCCCAGCTCCCCTCTATTGCACCCTAAACATCCACCTCCCCCACAGTACAGTCCCCGCTCAACAACACACTACAGTGGGATTGTGTGTATGGCATAGTAACCCTTTTAGTGCACCAATAATTGCATTCCTTTAATAGCGTCAGCATTTGTCACAAAATGTATCTCTGATCTTTACATTTTAGCAGTCGAAATGAAGTAGACCCTCAGAATTGGTGTAAATCAATGGGTATTTGTAAATGTATCATATTAGAACAATGACACAAGGAGTCAGGGACAAACACTTTTACATTAGCATACCAAAATTACTGTAATAGCTGCCTCTCCCTCATGTTGCCTGGGGGGATAATTTGAACATACTTGGTTTGCTGGTTGTCAGTGCATCTGAATAACTAGGATAATCTGATTACTGTGACCTCCTTTAAAGTGATGTCACTCTGTGTGTGTGAGTTGATAGGCTGAAGTCTGTGGTCAGTCCATGTTGTTAACTGAGCTCACACTGGACTTAAGTTACCGTTATCAAAAATGGCCCACACGCTGGCAAAAACAAAAGAGAAATGGGGATCAGCTGGAAGGGTTACTCAGCTGAGAGTAACGCTAAACCCCTGATCACCTTCCCCTGACACACTCCTCAGGCAGGTCTTAACTGGAACACAGTAATGGCTAATGGCTAATGCACACTGTCTGGTGCTATCAAATTGTTGTGGTACACGTTCAGTACTTGTTTTCAACTTAATGAAGCCAATTTATTTATCTACTCTCAACTTCAATATTAGGTTTATATCTAAACTATATACATACTGATGGTAAAGGCTGTGACAGACTGATATATTAGTCAGACACATTAATCAGATGATATTTGACAATTCTGAGATTATCTGCATCAGTCAATAGCTGTTTTTTTGCGTAATATTAATATTATATTTTTCGGAAAAAATTATTACATTTATTCAGCAAGAATGCATTTAATTGATCAAAAGTGACAGTGAAGACTTTTACATTGTTACAAAAAAATCTATTTAATATAAATGCTGTTCTTTTGAACTTCCTATTAATCGAGAAATTTGAACAGTGTCACATGATCATCAAATAAAGATCATGTGACACTGAAGACTGGAATAATGGCTGCTGAAAAATCAGCCTTGCCATCACAGGAATAAATTCCATTTTAAAATATATTAAAATTGTTGAAATATAATGAAAACAGTTATTTTAAATTGTTATCATATTTAACAATATTAATAGTTTTACTATATCTTTGTTCAAATAATTGTAATATATATCAGCTATATGGGCATTATATCAGCCAGTGACCTCTATTCTGTCTATGACAATGTCAGTATCATTGTTAGCCATTAGAAAAAAGCTCATATAGATTGACTACTAATTAGGTTACTAGTAGCTAGTTAAAGGGGTCATCGGATGCAAATTTCACTTTACAAGTTGTTTGAAGATAAATGTGTGTTGGAAGTGTGTGCACACATCCATCCTATAAAGATAAAAATCCACCCAGTGTTTTTTTTTTAAATCCCTATTTTAAAATCCCCTTTCTCAAATCAGGCTGTTCTGAGATTCCTGTCAGAATGACGTAGTTCTGCACAGGCCCCTCCCACGATAGTTGATTGACACTGTGTCTTACCTTAGTGAGCTGTCATCAGTCCGCCAATGTGTCGACTCCAGTGCAGGGGAAGACAAGAAAGTCTCCGATTAAGCGATTGAGGTGTTTTGTTGTTGGATGTAATACTGAACATAGCAGTCGTCATTTACTCCCGACATCTGAGCCGCTAAAGACGCAGAGGATTAATGTTACTTTCGTTTTGAAGGGAATGCGCCAATCCCGATCTGCCTAAATGCGTCTATGTTCACACGAATCATTCGTGATCCAGCTTCATCAACAGAAGAAGTGAGTATAAGGGTTTTTAACGAATCTTTGCAAATCGCCTTTCCTAATAACGTGCTAGTTAGCCAGTTTCGCGGCTGAAGTTTACAGTCTGCTCGTCACCCCACGGAAGAGAGGGGTGGGGTGAGCAGAGCTCATTAGCATTTAAAGCAACATGGACTAGAATGGCTTGCTGAAAGCAGAGCTGATTTTGACAGGGTAAAAAAGGTGTTTTTTACACTACCATTGAGAAATTTTTACCAAATTATGTTATAGACTTTTCATTAAGACCCTAAAGTATCAAATCAACTTGTGAAAAATGGGCATCCGATGACTAGTTTACCATGCATGTTGTGACAACTGAAACTTCAATTACAGGACATGTTTAATTACTCAACAGTGGACATAAAAGTGCAGTCCTGCATTTTTAAGGCCTCAACACATCTTAACACTTGGGAAACCGTTTTATGTAATATGCACACCTACTAGGGTTGTGATTGCTTTGGTCTTCTAATTTCCTGACATTGCTGTTCTTTAAAATTGATTTTAGTGAGTACAGTTCAGTTATTGGTCGTGTGATGTCCATACCATCTTACCATGTGAATTGCCTGTAAAGGTGTAAAATTAGACTTATCAAATAGTGTTTTATCAGCAGGTGTAGAGAAAATGAATTATGGAGAGAGCAGGAGAGAGGCTGGGAACACAGCAGAATAGCAACAATTCCCCCTTTATCGCATACCCAAAACAGAGATGGTTTGACAATGACAGGAGTCAGTCGCCTGACTGGGGGAGGGTGGATATGAGAAAATGAGCGTCTGGACCACGAGAGTTCAGATGGATACAGGGGACAGGGGAAAATACTAAGGGATGTATATATATGTATGGCTACGTGTGTGTATGTCCTGGAAAAGCCCCAGGGTCTGAACTCACACAGGGGGAGAAAAGGGCAGTGGTACGTTATAAGCACCGGGGTCAGCGGGGTACAGGATAGAGTGACTCATTTGTCACAAATGACAGATGAATTGCTGTAGTTATATGTCTTTATTTTAAGTAGCTCAATTTGTAGACCATGGTACTATGGCAATGTCATGGGCTCAATTCCTAGAGAACACTCATAAAAAATACACATTGAATGCCTTTTAAGTCACTTTGGAACATCTGCCAAATGCATATATGCACTTGCACATGACATTACATCACAAACTATGTACTTATCTAACTGTGACTGAAATGTATGTTATATTGGCATTTTAACGTGTTACAATGTTTCTGTTTTTACTACCTCTTTTACACAGACTCTGTATAAAACTTTTCAAAAGATGCCTGACAGTTTCACAAAGCCACTCTCCTGCCTTTTACGACAACACCCTGCATTCATGTAATGCGCAAATGTCACCCACAATTTTAGGTGTTCTATTAATAAGTAATAGGATGCATTTCTTTCCCACCGATTAGAATGAGTCAGATGGGGATGGTGGTCAAAGTGGGGCCATGGACTTTTTGCATTGTCTGCACTCTGGTTAGTGACCATGAGTCATTTGTCCAGCCTTTTATGTGTTAACCATTATGAACCAATACCATTTTTAGAGGCTGAGTTTGAGAAGCGCTACCTGTATTTAGTTAAGCCATAATTTTCAAGTATAGTACAGCGGGACTGATAATTTGAGGGTAGTGTGTTACTTTTTAAAAAAAAATTTTTTTATGTAGTACAAAGTAATGGCTAAGAGCTCTTATTTTACTGCCCTTGGGTTATCAGGCTGCTGTCAACAAAAGAGAAGCTTTAAGGGCTCCCTGCAGTTTTCCGCCAAAATAAAAGCTTGAATGTTTAAGGTTTGAAAATGAAGAATTCAAGATAGTTACAGCTGTATTGTAAACAATTATTATTATTATATTTTTCTTAAAGGCACAATATGTAAGATTGTTTTATTAAAATATCCAAAAACCACTAGAACAGTGTTATATATTTTGCTGACTTGTGTACTTACATTATCCCAAATGTTTCGAAGAATGTTTAAATCCAGAGAAATAAGCAATTTTAACTAGTGACCCGGCCCGTGTCCATAGTGTCATTGTGTCGCCTGCCAATGACGTTATAACCCCTCGATTTCCGGTTTTG